GGGGGGGGGAGTGCTGCGACATCTCCCATGCTGCTGCTGCAGGCTGGACCCTTTGAATGCTCTGACATTTGTTTCCCAGACTCCAGAATGAGTTGATATGAGAGTTCCGAATGCTGAAAAGAGACCTTCAGTTGCTGCACTGCCTAATGTACCGTGCATCTGTAACATCTGTTGAGCTGCAGTTGGCAGCCGGAGAATTGTGTACAGGAACAAGACCTGGCCTTCTGCTGAGACAGCTGCAATGCAACCAGCACGATCTTCTAAGGCAGTGGAGTCAGAGAGGGGAAACATATTTGTGGCTGCTGAATTTTGCAATGATACCTCATTGGATTTTAGATATATTACTGTGCGGATGTGCAGTAACAAACATCTGCAGTTCAAAGACTTAGCAGCTCCTTTCTTGGAAATACTCACATGCTTACCAAAGTTAACTCTTCAAAATCCTCTCTTGTCTGCCCCATCCTTTGTAATGAACAACTACTCCACTTCTGGAATTGACAGTGAACTGAATGTGAGAGCGTCATGTACTTCTAAGGCTCTGGCTTGCTGCAAATTGTGCACCATCTGGCTCTAAGAATACATTGGCATATCCTCTACCTGTGGGGCTTGTGCTAAGAAAAATGGATTCTTTTTGATATGCGTGTTGTAGCTGTCCTGCAAAAGCAGGTTATACTCGTAGAGGTATGGCACAGCTTGGCCTGGCACTCAGCTCATTACAGGCTGCTTGCTTCCTGGAGTCCTGTCCTTTGAGTGCTATTGCAGACTGTTATGGAGAGTGACAACTGGGAAAGATGCTGGGTTCGAATCAGCAGCGTTGAGGAAACAGTGCAGTAATTGATGCTTGTAACTGTGCGGTGGGAGAAATAGAGTGGTACAGCCTGGCAGGGAAGGTCTGTCCCACAGATCTGGGGAGGCCTGAGAGAACAAGGTGACAAACCATGAGTGCACTTGGCTTATCAAATTCTTCTCACTTGGTGACGGTCAAACTTGATAGCTGTGAAATGCTTTCTGCGCCCTGACAAAAATGCAAGATGTATTTGCTTTGCTTTTGTAGTAACAGGCAGTTGAAATCGTAATGTGTTCTGCCATTCCTCACTGCAGTTTGGGAATTCTGAAATACTGAAAAATAAATGCAGAAGGCCAAACCATTTCTTTTTCTGAAAATACAGCCCACGAAACTGTCAGAGCAATCTTGGGCTTTTTCCTAGAACATACCAGAACTTTCAGGAGCCCTGCTGTGCCATGCCCTCTGTTTCTCACCAAGCTTTTCGTACTGTTTGCTGATACTAAACATTTCTCACTGTTTCTCTTATCTTTAACAAATGACTCTCTCTTTGTGCTTCAGGGAAGATGGTGAAAAAAGTCTGTCCTTGCAACCAGCTCTGTAGTAATTATCTTATTTCTGTTATCTCCAACTCCTGACTGTAAAGCTGTTCATTGGCTTTTTCTGGTCACCGAAGCCTTGCCTCCCTGACTCTGTCTCTAGCACAGCATCTGTCTGTCTCTGTTATGCCCTCTAATGTGTACTCTGTTGTTAGCATAGCTGTACAGCGTGGCTATTACCTTTGCAGAAGAGTGGAGGCAGAGCCTCACCTTCCCTGAGCAACTCCTTGCTCCCTGCTAATAACAGTGAATTGAGCATCAAGGACAGCTGCTCACTGTGATGTGCTAACGCTGTACCTTTGAGCAGCTGGTTTCTGTACGTATCTGATGGGTTCTGCCATCTCAGTGACAGCTCCAATGGCAGAGAGTCCTTCAGCGTTGCAAGAGTAAGCCATCTGACCTCTATCCGTGTCCTGAAGTAAGAGATGTCTAGAAAAGCCAGCATATGGTCACGTCACTGAAGACGGCTTAAAGGTGCCTTTTGACAGTGCCTTTCTCACTCATGGTGAGATTTAAAAATGATAATAATAAAAAAGAAGGCTGGGTGTAAAATGAAGGCATTGTAGGTGGCAGGCTGAAGAAGCAGAAGCCTGTTTCACTTCAGGTCCCTCATGTCAGAGTAGGATTGGGGATGGCTGCTGTGACCAAGCAGGAATGCGGGGGTTTGTTTCCATTAAATGCCACGAATTGAAACGCTTCCTTCTCACACTCTTCGGGATGGCAGCTTCAGTAGGCAGCAACTACACCAGGGTTAAAAGGTGAAGTTCCTAAGAAGTCAGTTTTTACACTGATACTGTGGGAGCTCCCAGTAATTTTACAGCTCACCTCTTATAGCGTAGGTTGGTCTGCCTCAAGTTGTCTGTGACTTGAGATTGGAGCTCCTTACTAAAATCACTTTTCAGATAAAGCCCTTTGCCCCCCACCTTTCCTATCTGCCTTAAAGCCTGGGCTAAACACTCAGCCAGTCCTCTTCAGAACACTTCAGCTTTTCTAAATGATTTTTCACATCTTTGGATGATTGTTCTGTAGTATTTTGTAATTAACTCCCTCCATTGCACGGCCTGAAGAGGCTCTTCAAGCATAGAGCCACGGTCCCAGGTTGCCAGCTGTGCACTTATTGATTAACATAGAAATATGAGACACGAGAACCAGATATTGGCCATCATGAAGAGTATGAGAGTAAGTGTGTCAATCCCTGCATGAGCCCTCATGGTGGAATGTGGTCGTTACTGGTTCCACACCTCATCTTGAGTACCTCTTTGTTATTTTTGCCTGTTTTGTGTTTAATTTCACCTTCTTTTTCTTGGTCACTGTTATTATTAAATAAGATGTGGTGCATGCTTAAAGTTTTCATTATTTTATTGTAGATTTTTCCTTTCCACCTTATGGTATGTTTCTGTTAGCATTCATCTGAGCTGCAGCTGCACTCCCTGGTCAGGGAACCCTATTCTCTCCTTCCCTGTGCACTGTTGCATGCCTCTGCCTGCCTGTAACAGCTGCTGTCCCTCTGGTGAGCACCCTCACTGGGAGCCATCTCCATGCTTGAGCTGGATCTGGTGGGAGGGAGTTGTGTCCTTCCCTCCTCAGCACTACTAGAGGCGGTAACACTTTGCTTATTTGTCCTGCGTAGTAAGTATGTCACCTTCCTAATTCACTCCTTAATATAAAGCATTCCTGCAGGGGTTTGGAGCCAGTTCATTCTTTGATGCCATGGTTGCAGGGAGTGGGGCAGCTAGCCAGGGAGGGCAGCACGGAAGAATTAGAATTGCAGAATCATTAAGGTTGGAGAAGACATCTGAAATCATTGAGTCCAACCAGCTACCCATGCCTGCCGTGCCCACTGCCCACATCCCTCAGTGCCACATCCACACTGTTACTGAACACCTCCAGGGTGGTGACTCCACCACCTCCCTGGGCAGCCTGTGCCACTGCAGCACCACTCCTGAGAAATCAGCTGTCAGACAGGAGACAACGATTGTCATTCAGCCTTGGCAATGGAGATGACTGTCTTTGCTAGGATTTTTGATCCTCAACTTTTTAAATCAGTTTTCTCCAGAAATTCTGCCATACGCTCAGGTTATCCTGGGCTTCCCAATTGCAGCCTTCAGAACAAGCAGGTAGAAATATATGAAGCTATTTGAAAACCAGTTAGGTGAAGATGCTTGCAGTGAATGCAGGGTTTAGCTCTACACTGACAGGAACTAATTATGTTTAGTTGGTTTTGAGCCAAGCGGATTTGAGAAATGTAGATTCATTCTGCCTTCCCCGTGGTCCTACTGGTCCCACATCTGGAAATGAAGATACTTCTGGAATGTATTCATTCCACATCTGAAATGAAGCTACTGCTGGGAATTCAGAATTCTTACCTGATAATAAACAACTTTTGCTACTGCTATGTTATCTGTCTTGTGAAAAGCTTCATTTTGAGTGAAGCTGTGTGCTTATTAGGGCGAGACAGTGAGTAAGGCTACTAAACACAGAACTTCTGGATGTTTTCTGCAGTGTGCTGTTCAGCCAGCTTTCTAGAAGCACCAAATTCCCAGTATTCATGTGTGGGGCTTTTGTTCTTGTGGTCAACCCAGTGAACAGAAATTCGTGTCAAAGCACATCCAAGGAACTGGTCTCATTTCTGCCTTCTTTAAGCTGTGTTAGTCATTTGCATTGAAATGCTTGTTCTTCAGACTAGGAAATCTGAACATAATGGCAAAAAAGTGCTTTCAGAGGCAAAAAGCAAAATTTAACACAGTGCAGACTTCCCCTGCTGATCCCCACTCTTTAGTGGATGAAGACAGTCCTGTCTGGTTATGCTCAAGTATGGCAGCTATTGGAAACAACAGTTCTTGTATAACGCTGTGGCTTTTTGTGTAATCTGAGGGAATTTTTCCTCTTCATTTTATGAAGTGGAGATAATTTTCTACAGAGCAGCTGGCTGCGCTGTTTGTAGTACTCCATATTCAGCATCCAGCATTGTCCTCTAAGGTGGAATTGACTTGTGCTGGTAGTGGTTGCTGCTAATTAAATGGTATAGGATGAAAGAATGACACAACTACTGTCATCTGGTGCTGAAATCTAATCTTCTTTTTCTTCTGCAAAGACCTATAGGCTGCTGCTGTTCCCCTGTAAAGATGACTACTTGCAGGACTTCTTGAAGGAAACATCTGTGAAATATTAATAATCTGAGGAAATGCCTGTAGGAGTCCTCATAGTTCCTACTTCAGCTTGTCTTGAAATTGAAACCTAGACTTAAGCTGCATGGCATTTTAATTGGCTCTCTATCGTTGTACCATTGCCACAATTATTAAATTCACTGGAGGAAGCTGATCTTGACCCCACATTTTGACTCCCATTTCTTGTGTTTTTAGGGACCAGTAGCACTAACGCAGTCGGGGCTACAGTGAACAGCCAAGCACCCCAGTCTCAGCCTACTGCTATTGCCTCCAGCCGAAAAGGGACTTTCACAGACGACCTGCACAAGCTGGTAGATAACTGGGCCCGAGATGCCATGAACCTGTCTGGCAAGAAAGTTGGCAAAGGGCATAGCAACTATGAGGTAAGTTTTAACCCATAAATGTTTACGGCTGTGACTGTCGGGTCGTCTTGCTATGTCAGTGTCAACCAGGTGGAGTACAGTCACCACGTATCCTGGACAACTGCGCTACAGAAATGTTGGGTAAACCTTGTGTGCACAGTGTGATATTGCGTGCTCTGGAAGGGAAGAGAGATAACTGAAGAGTAAAGAGAGTAAAGCCATGATGTGTTCTTCCAGACAGCCATTTGGAACGGCCTGCGGGGATAGCTGGTGGTTTGTAAGAACAGCTGTTTAACTTGGAGGTTGGGTTTTCTTTCAGGGCCCTGGAATGGCAAGAAAATTCTCAGCACCAGGTCAGCTCTGTATCTCTATGACATCTTCCCTGGGTGCTACGCCCATCTCTGCAGCATCAGCTACCTCTTTAGGTCCCTTCACGAAGGCCATGTGCCCTCCGCAGCAGTACGGTTACCCAGCAGCGTCTTTTGCCGCTCCGTGGAGCGGGACGAGCGGTCCGGCACAGCAACCACTTGGCCAGTTCCAGCCTGTAGGTGCCGCGTCTTTGCAAAGCTTCAACATCAGCGGTTTGCAGAAATCCATCAGCAACCCTCCAGGCTCCAACCTGCGGACCACTTAGCCCCGCTCGGAGACCGTGCTGGCTAGACCTCGGGACGGGACGTGGGGAGGGAGACGGGGCCCTTTGTCAACTCCTAGTGCTGCAATGAACTGGTTGCTTGCCAGACTGGGAATGAATTTCTCTTTTCCACCCATTGCTGTTAACTTTCTGTAAAGGGGGCTTCCCCACATGCTTTCAAGGGGGAGAAGGATGATCGGCGTCTTTACGATGGGACAGTTCTTTTGACTTGAGGGGTCCCGCTCTCGTGTGAAGCGAGAGCCGTGAAGATCAGTGACGGGGGCAGTTAACGCAGTCTTGCTGTAACATTTCTCTGGTTTGAGGCCGAATCCGCGTATGTGAAGATGGGAGAGTTGAATCCTAGCATGAGGCTTTAGCACACTTCTCTCCCTGAAGATCCGAGACCAGCTGTCCAAATCCCCCTCCTCTCCCTCTCCCCACTCGATCGTATTTGGCTCCAGAACGATGGGGCACCCGAATGGACTTGCAGTGCAGCCCGTGCTTGATAGGTCATTACTGCTTTAAGTAAGATATTAACAGCTTTGACTGCAGCATTAGAGCAATTTAAATTGTTTAAAGATTTTAAAAGTTCCCTGCGGACATGTACTTACCATCAGTTTTGATGTGGAAACACTGTGATATATAAATGTTGTTGGACAACAGTAGTTTAAAAATGAGTGGAATATAGAGGGTTAAAAAAGTTAAAAAGTAAAAAATGGGAAAAAAAGCTAGCTATATCCTTATACTTATTGGAGACACTTTAACTTTTTCCTTTGTATTTTCATTGTATTAGATAAATAAATGTGAATGTAAAATTGTATAAATTAATGTACTTGAATACTTGTCTGTTCTCCCAGTATGCTTGCTGGATATTTTAGTGCCTTGGACTTCTATTGCTTCTGCAGTTAGCGTTGTCTTCCCAGCAGACCCCAGGTGGACAGAGGGCAAGTTCAGAGAAGGCCGTGTTGGTTGTACCTGTGGACGGGGGCCTGACCGGCGGCGTAGCGATCGCGATAGCGCGATAGCGCCTAGAGGAGGTGCAGCGGGGCGGAACCAGGCTCCGCGTGTTGGGAAACTTGGCCGAGGGGGTGACCTGATGTTGGTGGTGCGATGAGGGCCAGGTGGGGTGGGACGGAGGGTTGTGCGTGAAGCCAGAATGAGACGAAGCGCCGTTGTGTAGGGGCAGGAGGTCTGGATCAGGAATGGAGAGGATGGGGAGAAGGAGTGTCTATGGGAAGGGTCCCACTTCAGATGCAGTGTGACTCCACCTGTGAAGTGGTGAAGGTGTTTGGTCAGGATGTGACTTGAGGGAGAGGTGCCGTTCCTCGTTGGCGTGGGCTTGTCTTGCTGGGATTGCTTTTCTTTCTTTGTTTTGTTGTGTTTTATGGGTTTTTTTTTTTTTTTATCCATTGAAGCCAGGAATAGTCGTCCTGGCACAATGTCCATTGCCGGCAATGGATGCACTTGAAACAGCCGGCATCAAGAAATTTCCTCAGTCTTAGTTGGAGGATTTATGCTCCAACTCTAACAGATTTCCAGCTGGTACCAGGACTGTAGCCGTCACCTCTTAGTTAGCTGTACTGTACCTTTGCTGTGTTCATTCTCCCTTTTCATATTTAAGAATACTGGTTTCCTCTACAAAGTTAAAATAATACCAGCCAGTATTTTACACAGTGCTGCAAAGAGCTGTGAAGGATCACTGCTGCTTCCCAGCACTGGGGCAGCTCGCTGGTGTCTGGAAGTTGGTGCACCCAGGAGATTGTTTCTTGCCCAAATCATTTTTCCTGAGAGTGTTGTTCCCCTGTGGAGCCTTAACAGGGAGTTTTTCTGTCTGTGAGTGTTCTCACTTGAATTTTTGTTTTATTTTATTTTATTTTTTGCAAAGAGATGTGCGAGATCCATTTCTTTCCTGTTACTTTTTTCTTTTTTCTTTTTTCTCTTTTTTTTTTTTTCCAGCAGTTTTGGCAGCAAGGGCCACCCTACCTGGGTGGAGAGAGATGCCAGAGGGCAAAAGCCAGCAGCAAAGAGCCTGGGCTCTGAGATCCTTAGGTTTGGAGGCTCGTTCTTTGTGACCTCAGTGCGGAGTGGAGCTGCTGAAGGGGAGAGGAGAGAGGCTCGTGGCGTGAGTGTGGTGGGAAGGGGCAGAAGTGGGGGGCCGTGCTGCTGAGGTTGGACAGGAAAGCTCTGCTGCGTGCCCTGAATGGTGCATTGGTTTCCCAAATACACCCGGTGGAAGGGGAGAGGTGTGCCTGAGGAAAAGGAGCGGTTGTCGGCCTGAGGCAGTGGTGACACACAAGGGGAATACTCACGACAGGGGAACGATGAAGCTGAACGCAGCACGTGGTTATTTAATTTTGATCTAATAAGTTTGAGGTTGTTTTCACTTAATGTTATGCAAGAACTGGTTTTATTTACCATTGATTCCCCCTCCCCCCCTTCCTGTGGATGAATAACTGAAGTCTAGAGGAATAAACTAATGCTACTGAACTGTTAAATTATTTTGTTTAATATTACACTTTGAGTATCTTTTTCCACATAAAATCTGTTTCTGAATTACAAGCGTTTTCTTTACATTATTTAACAATGTACACTGTAAAAAAAAATAAAATAAAAAAAATAAAAAAGTTGAAACTTTGGGCTTCCCTGGCCACAGTTAGTTGTGTATTTGGCAGCGTCACCCCAGCTGCTCTCCTTCTATGGTTGTGCTTTGTGCTGCAATTTGTCACCTCTGCAGAATATCGCGTCAAGTCACTGAAAGAAACCCAACGTGCTTTGCTGAGCGCTGGGTTTTCTCGTGGGCCTCTCCTCCCTGCTCCTGCAGTGATTTAACTGCTACACAGTTGATAACAGTTACGGGTAGAAAAGCTGGAGCGGGGCTGCTCCACCTCACCTGCTGGGTCGGCTCTTCTCCTCTCTGGGTCAGAAGGGAGTGGGGCTGAGCTGCGGTGCTGGGTTCTGCCTTTAGTCTTCATTCGGTCTGAATGCCATCCCCAAACTTGCAACTCTGCCCATACAGTGTAAGAGTGGAGCTATACGGAGTTGTTCTCAAGCAGCTGTAGGCTCGCAGGAATTACTTGGTATTTCTAAACACTAATTACTGCTGCATTTCTTTCCATTTTAAGAACAGCTTCTGTTATGAGTCATGCTGCTCAAGTCCTTAAAGGAAAAGCTCCATGGATGAACGTTACTGCTTTTTTTAAAGAAGGACCAATCTGAGAGGTACTGACCCCCTCTGGAGGAGGCATCTCTTTCTTTGCACTGTTCTGCTGTCAAGAAAGCTGATGAAATTGTCAGAGACTTTCAGGTTTTCTATTGTAAGAACTGGGGGAGGCTTTGCTGAACACAGCAGTGGTGTGTCTGCACATTCCCTTCCTTACAGGTATCTTATTTCAACACTGGGCGCATGACTCAGATGCGTGGTATGCATTTCTTTCCTGAGCTGCTCTGATCTCACTCAGCACTGAGTTGGAGAGAAACCAATATTACTGAAATCTGAAACTGTTTTCTAGGTAATGATCTGTGACAGTTAATTTCATTTGTCCTGTCTTTTGGTACCAACATCGGTCCTTGTTTGTCCTGTTTGAGAGGTGAGTGGGTAATAGAGGCTGCATAAGAAAAAAGGACTGATAAGTGGCGAAGGTGAAGTAGGAGGGACAGGAATCAATGCTTCATACCTCCTGGGTAACATTTAGATTGCTTTACGAAACTCATCTGGATAGAACGGTAATGACAGCAGAGCACAGAAATAAGGTCCTGTTTCAAGTCTGACATCAGTTTCAGGGTCGGATTAATCAAAATTGTTGTCAGTTTTCCTGGGTCCAGCCCCAGCCATGCTGCACCATCCTTCCAGTGCTGCCGCTAGGGAACACAGAACCAGCTTCCCCTCTCAAGTCCTGGGCTCAGGCTGCTTTAGGCATGGAGGGTGCTGCCACTGCTTGGCTGGCGGTGCCCAGCTCCTGCCTGAGACAGCAGGGGCTGCAGCTGAGTCCCTTCACCAGAAGAGAAAGAGACCCAATAGCTGCCCAACAGAACCGTTCTCTCACCAGAGTGGGGCCTTTGAAGCTGGGCACAGAGGACTTCCTAAATGCTGCTTGAAAGATCTTGCTTTGACCTTATTACTAAGAGGAGCAGCTGTTGCTTTGCTCTCATGTTTAAAATCCACTTGAACATTTCTGTTTGCCCATACTAAAGCAAATGCAAAGCTGTGCATGCAGTGGTAATCTCTAGCTTTCTACTTGTACCTGCTCACAAACTTCTCTGAGCTTGTTAAACAGTTGGAACTGAATAGGAAGAAGGCACAAATAACAAGTGTGCTTTGTCTGTCCAAATTTAGTGTTTATTCCCGTGTTAAAAAGGAGTAAAAGCTTATTTAAAAGTATAAAATTGCGGCTCTCATTCATTTCACAAAAGGTCCAAACAAGCACTTAGAGGCTGTATGCACTCCTCACTAGCAGCCCCCATGTGTTCCTGCCCCTGTGCTGCATGGGCACAGGTGGACGTGCTGCTGCTGCTCCTGGGGATGCTGTGTGCTTGAGGGGTGAGCTGAGGCAGAGCTGTCAGGGCAATGCTCTGACCCTGCTTGTGCAGCCTCTGGGCAGGCAGCTGGGCTGCATGTGAAAGGCAGAGGCTGCCACAACTGCAAAATGCCTGAGGGAATGCAAGGCTGCATTCTGTCTGCTTTCCTGGGACCATGGCCCACCCTGCCCTCATTTTATTGGAAAAAACTTTCTGTATGCCAAAATGCAACGCTGAGCAGGAAAGAAGCTATGGTGCCTCATTTGAAGGTTTACTTATGCTACAATTTTCAGGCAAATTATTTGTAAAACAGCCACGAGTTGTGCAGGAGCACAAATGATGATGTGTTTATAGAAAAAAAAAATCTGGGCTATGTAATAAACCCAAAGCACATGAAGTTCTTGCTGGCTGTGCCTCTCTGGCTATTCTGTGTTGCTTCAGGACAATCTATTAATAGATGAAGCTTCCTCACATATTTTGAGCAGCCAACTGCAGTCTTATGATGTAATCCAGCATTTAGGTAATGATGCCACCAGGTGTCCTATGTAGGTTCTAGCCTCCGCTTCTTCCAGCTTTGGCTTCTCCTGTGAGGGCTCTGCTCTGCTGAACAGGGAGAGAGTGAGAAAGGGAAGTTTCTTAAAGCTTTTCTTTGAAAGGGTTGATAGCAGCAGGACAAGGGGAAATGGTTTTAAGTTGAGGGAGGGAAGATTTAGGTTGGATGTCAGGGGGAAGTTCTTTACAGAGAGAGTGGTGAGGTGCTGGAACAGGCTGCCCAGAGAGGTTGTGGATGCCCCATCTCTGGAGGTGTTCAAGGCCAGGTTGGATGGGGCCCTGGGCAGCCTGGTCTAGCATTAAATGTGGAGGTTGGTGGCCCTGCCTGCAGCAGTAGGGCTGGAATCCTTGTAGTAGGGTTCGTGATCCTTGAGGTCCCTCCCAACCCGCACCATTCTGTGATTTGCTTCTAAAAGTACTCATTGATTTACTCTTTAACTCTTCCCTGAGAAGACAGTTGGATGAAAAGAGTAGTCCTAGCCTGCTATCACAGCGCTCCACACAAAAGAGGGATGCTTCTCCCATTCCAGATTAGTAATGACAGCAAAGCTTTCAAAGCTAAAAGCTGTTGTTGAGAAAGAAAGAACTCAGTCATTTATCACAGCACGTACCTGGTGTGTGTTGGTTGGCACCGTGGCTGCTGCCCGTGAGAGCAGCAGATGGCTGCAACTGTGCAAACCTCACGGAAGGTTTGTGAGAATGCATTCTCTGGGGCGTTCTGTTACGAGTTGTCATCTGGTGGCATCCGCGGGGCGTCTCGGGGGGTTGGTGTGCTGCTGGTGGGCCCACTGCTTTGTGACACATCAACTTGTTAAGGTCAGTGGTCTCCAAGGAAATGTCCCAAAGTTCAAGATCATCTAGAATGAATGAAAAGATGGTGAAACCAAAGACGACGGCGCTACAGGAACAAGAGCGACTCCAGACCAGCCCGCCCTTTTCCTATAGTGGTGGCCACTATACAAGTTAAACTGTAAGGTATCTTTTATGTCAGTGCACCAGCAGAAAACAGCACTATGCCCTGTGCTCTGAACTTCAGCAAGGTCCACGTGCTGTGCTGTGTGACACAAACAGCCATAGCTGTGTTAAGAAAAGGCACTTCCCCCCCTTCCATGTTCTATTTTTGTGAAACGTCACCAGAAGAGAAGAGATTGCCAAATATGTCTAACAGTGCTCTACTGCAAGGCATGGTGTAAAACTTCTCATGCTGATGGACATCTCATCTCTTGTACATTTTAATACTGTTTTCCTGCCATTCAAGCAAGGTTAGTACAGCTGGGGTCAGACTCCCACTTCTTTTACTCCAAGCTCTTCACATCTTTTATCACCCTTACACGTTGAAGAATTAATCCAAATACCAACAATTTAACATGCTTCTATTCATTATTCTTGGCTGACCTGCAAAGAACTCTTCTTCAATTGCCAGTTGCTGTTGTACTGCTGCCGGACTGCTGTGTTTTACGGGAGGATTGGCTGTTGCTGGATAGAGGTAACACAACAAAAGATTAAAGTCTGAAATACAGAAGAACTTTTCTGTTTCTTCTTAGCAGACAGACGAGTCTGAAGTGATTGTACCCAGGTACCCTCTTTTCCCACAGCTGCTTGGATTTTGGAAGCGGTATATAGAATAGTATGGATGCTGCTGCTGACTAGCAATTGCAGTACTACAAACTCTTTTACCCCACCCCCAAGTTCCCGCTTACCACACATCTGTCCAGACTTCCCATGAGTGAAAAGTAACCTACCAGCAGCTAATGCAACGTCCGCTTGCCTGCAGCCACCTCAGTGAAGGGCTGCAGCCTCAGCTCTGACGCAGAAAGGTAATGATACAGATGGCAGTGGCTGTGCTGCACGAAGCTTTAGTGTAGCTGGACAGTTGCAGATTTAATGATGTGGTTTTAGAGCCGCTTTAAGAACACTGGGATAGAAGTATGAGGATCTTCCTTTGTTTGGTCTCAAAGGAGTGTGATAGCACAGCATAAAACAGATCAGGCTCCCGTACTGAGAGTAACACTTGTCTGCCAGCGGCTATCATTCAAACTGTCAGCTTCTAATGCCCCATCTCACCCTGTTTGCTGCTGGGAGTAACTTCTGTGACCTGACATCTCTTCTCCATCTGTTCCCGGAACTGTTGCTGTAGCTGCTTTTGTCGCAGTTTCCGCTGGTACGTGGCATCACACTCAGCAGCTGGGGAATCTGTGTTTCTGCCCCACCCCCAGGTAAAGACAAAGTTAAAACAGGAGTTCAGCAACTGTATTTTATGAAGAAACATTCATACTCTAATATAATAACTGCAAGAAGAATCCTCTAAATTAGTATTGTATGGCATCTTCCAATTTGGACTGTCCACGTGCTTCAAAGGGGACAGTAACTTCTAACATACCCAGAACTGCTTGGCTGCTTCTGATCTTCTGTCTCTCCAGAAGCCTCTGTGTGACTGGGCTTACGAGTTGGTGCCATTTCATACTGTTGTCTCCATCCTGGGTTCTGCCTTTCCAAACAGCCATCATACCTTGCTTTCTCTATTTCGGGCTCATAGTCCTGTCTTTTAGTTTTCACCAGATCTAACTCGGGGGGCACCTAGTAAAGGAAAATAGAAAACACCTTCAGAAATTTCCTTCACGAAATATGCACAGGTCTTTTCTGCGAGGTACTGTTAGAAAATCTTGTTTCCTCTAGGTAGAGAAGTTTAGAAACTAAAATGCAGTTTAATTTATCTAGTTTATTGCTTTGTGCCAGTTCAGTAGTTGGGTTCTTTAGGGAAGATATCCTGTGTCTGTGATTTTACAAATCTCTGGCTGTGAGGCAGTGGGTGACATTGGCAAAGCAGAGATCTCTGTCATCTTCACTTGGTGAGGTGTCCCTTCGGATCGTTAGCTAGCCAAAGAGAGAGCTCCATGCTGACTAGTGGAGTTGAGTAAATCCTGGTGCGACAAAGGCAACTTTCCTGTGGAACAACGTGGATCAGTGGATGTGAAAGGCTGACTTTTTCCTCAGTGCACAAGGTAGGTTACTGCCTAGCAGCCTACTGCCCCCAGCTGGCACACATCAGGAGCTAACAAGATTAATGCCGACCAACAGCAGGGGCACCTTTAGTGCTACAAAGACTGCTGTGTTACATCCAAGTGTACTTTGTGATAGCTCTGAAAGAACAGGCTTACAGCACTGTTGTTACCAGTGGGACGTGCAGCACAATTTCTTGTCTCTTTCTGGACCAGAAGCCTCTGAAAGAGGCATTTCTTCACAGTGCTTGTTAACTCTGAAGGTTCACTGTTAGAACGTAGGACTTCAGAGGGAAAAGTAACTGCAGCTCTCCCTTGCATGGTGAAACCTAAAGGTAAGCCTAAAGGAGCCTGAGAAGCAAGGCAAGGAGTCACATGGCCTATTTCTTAATGTTTGGTAATGGAAAGAACCGTAGTGATGACAGGGAAAGTGTTCAAGTGCACCTCAGCTGTACAGACTAACTCTTCATACATTCAAGAGCCTGCTCTCATCATACAGTTGCAAATTTCAGGTACCAACACATTTTGAAGCCAAGCAGAGGATGTTTGCAGGTCCTCTTGGTTGCTCCTCATGCAGCAAAAGAACAAAATACCATCACCTCTTTTGCTTTTCTGGGGGGGCTGGCAACAGCCATAACTTTTTTGGGTTCAATCTACAAGCTTAGATTCCTTTGTAATACAGATGCATCTAGCATGTAGGAGTGCTCTTTTGGGAAGGATCCAAGTGGCTTAATTGAAAGCTGATATCACCTTTTGAACTTTAAATCTCAGTACAAAAACACTGTTATAAAATGCCTACTTACTATCTATTATAAATAGAACAATGGACAGAGCTCTGAGGGGTGAAATAGAGGCACAATGTAAACCTTGTTAGAAAGACCAGGCCAAGAATAGTATAGCTGGTGATGCGACTGGGGCTTTGTAAAGTTTGAATGCTGATTAGTAAAAGGACAAATCAACTATCAGTGCACACACTGATATTGTTACTGTATGGATTTTGCTTGTTCTTAAGTTCAAACTACAGCAGACAACTTTGGGATGTGATCCATCTAGTATTGTTTCCAGGACATGCTGGGCTATGCATGTTAAACTTTATTGGAAGAAGTCTTTCTCACAAAAAAAGCACCTTGTTTTCTGCCAGAGCTTCTAAAATGTAGAGAATCTTCCTCCTGCTGCCCAGTATGTCCAACCTTGGCTTCCAGCTTGAGAGTCTTCAGGACTAAATGAAATGGTCCTGATTTCACAGAATGTACAGAAAATAGCACTTAGAAAAAGCTAGTTTAAACAGTTAATCTTCCCAGTGTAGCATTTAACCTCTTATGAGCACAGATGTAACTGCACACATTGCTGGCACTGAATAAAAAGACTTGGCTTTGGGCTGTGGATGCCCCGTCCCTGGAGGTGTTCAAGGCCAGGTTGGATGGGGCCCTGGGCAGCCTGGTCTGGTATTAAATGGGGAGGTTGGTGGCCCTGCATGTGGCAGGGGGGTTGGAGCTTCATGATCCTTGAGGTCCCTTCCAACCCTGGCCATTCTGTGATTCTGTGAAGACACTAAATGTCACACGGCATCTTGAGTAGAATACTGTTTCTTCAGCTTTCTCACCACAGTAAGCTTGCCTACTGAAAATAGTTAAACTTTAGAACAGTTGTAGTAAAGTGCTGGAAGAACTCAGTAACAGACAGCTTGTGCAATCAAACTAGCAGGCAAATGCTACAGGTCTGATAGCAGGAAATATTGGGGGCTAAGATGCATTTGCATCATTATTTACGTTCCTTTTAACACGAAGGATCAGGAACAATCAACATCTAGCAGTCCCTGCTCTGAAACACCACATACTGTACCTGACGTGGAAGCTTATTAACTGCTTGTAGGTAGTCTTTGTCTAGGATGCAGTTCCCAAGAGCATTCCCAAAGCACCTGAGAAACAAGAAGACTCGTTGTGACTGAAAATAACAGCTCCCAAATGACTTCTGAGAATCTGCAAGCACTGATCTTCACTTACTTGAGTGCCCTCTTCAGTCCATCTGTTACTGCCTCCTTTCTTGCCTTTTCCAAGGACAAGGCCTTGGACTTCAAGCCTTCGCTGACTCCGTAGCCCACATCTTCATGGTATGAGCCATCCTGCAGTAAGATTTTAAAAGCATTAAGTATAAGGGAAATTCTGCACATAAAGCATCCATTGCTAGACACTGTGCTTTCCTAAGCCTGTTTACTCACCCTTAGCTGGATGTCAGTGTTTTAGACTCCACTATTTCTCTGGTGTAGTGCATTACTCCTGAAAACTACAGTCTGACCTGTGTATTTTCATCCCCAGCTTTAAGTAATTGCTCAGCTACAGACAGAGCAAACACAAAACCCACTTACCTTAAGCTGGACTCTCACGAATGCACAGACCCCCACATAGAACCTGCCGTTGTTGAGATCAACAAAGTCTGAGGGGAAAAAAAAGTAGCATCCTAAATAACACAAAAGACTTCTGACTTCCACATGTAGATCTCAGTTCTCTTCCTTTGGATATTCATAAACCTGTAGTGTAGTTGCTGAGTGGGCCCAAGACATTGTCACTGTATTTTCTACATTGTGGAGCATGACTTATAATACTTGCCATCCAAGAATGATAACTTGTAGATGTGCTCTGGGGATGCTCTATTTTCTGGCTATCAGTGTGTTGGTCTGCCAAACACTTGTGCTCTGGTATCATGTGTATAAAGATATATTAAATATATGTTTACATCTGTTTTTTTCTTTTATATGAAAGAAATTGGAGTTGTAAACATGACTCCTCATTCAAATACATATCTTAGATGTTCAAAGAGTAACAGCTCTTTCTCAGCTGGAAGTAAAGATTTAAAGTACCAGTTTATAGAAACAACAATGGAAAAGAACCTTAACTGTCTATAAAAGCAACTTATTTTCTATTATCGATTAGAAGCTTCTCATCTGGGAAATGTTGCTCAAGGCTTTATCCACGACTCTCAGTTCAGAACCTCTAAACAACCATTGGCAGTATTACAAGTCTGACAGAATCACAGAATGGCCAGGGTTGGAAGGGACCTCAAGGATCATGAATCTCCAACCCCCCTGCCACATGCAGGGCCACCAACCTCCCCATTTAATACCAGACCAGGCTGCCCAGGGCCCCATCCAACCTGGCCTTGAACACCTCCAGGGACGGGGCATCCACAGCCTCTCTGGGCAGCCTGTTCCAGCACCTCACCACTCTCTCTGTAAAGAACTTTCCCCTGACATCCAACCTAAATCTTCCCTCCCTCAACTTAAACACATTTCTCCTTATCCTGCTGTTATCAACCCTTTCAAAGAGTTGATTCCCCTCCTGTCTGTAGGCTCCCTTCAGGTACTGAAAGGCTGCAATGAGGTCACCCTTCTCTTCTCCAGGCTGAACAAAACCAGGTCTCCCAGCCTGACACATAGCTGAAATGCTTTGTAGTTCAAGAAACTGTACAATGGTGTCCAAAAGTTCCATCCTCATCTGGTCCACTTGTTCAATAGTTTTGTAAAGCTGCCAGATGTGTAATCCTTTTTCAACCCAGGATTTAAAAAAAGCAGTATAATAATCCTCTGTCTCTGAACTGCTCTGAACTTTTTACAGGATTATTTGAGAAATTTTTCCTTCAAAGTCATCATAGTGAAAAATGTGGACAGACTTTTTTTATGCCAATCTGATACTTACCAACATTCTGTTGAGTGACTGAATGAGCCCAGCCATTGAAGCCAAACATCTCATTGGCCAGACTGATTACCTTGTGACCCTCAATGTAACAGACCTGAAAACAGAAACATACATGTATGTATATACACACACACTCTTTATTTTAAAGAAAGATTACATAGATCATCTTACTCTGAGGAAACCTGCCTAAATTCAAGATAATTGAATGATGATGCAGATTTAGGTTCACCATCTTCTGGCAAGTGTGATGGAGAGAACTGAACAAATATGCCAGAATTAAGGGGAGCAGAGCTAGCAGGCACTAAAGAAGTAAAATTGCAGCTTGTGTCACATAATTATTCATATACTTCAGTTCTAGAAAAAAAAGAAAAACATCTCAATGTTCCACAAGGAGGATGAAGGACTGAAAAGTTAAGTGGCTTTAAGAATAAGAATGTAAGGTTTCTGTGGCTAAGATAAGGCCAGAATACATGCTAGTCTAGTTTTCCTTTCACCTCTGCTGATTACACTTCAGTGGGAAATTTTCAAAACTAAGGATTGTTATTATTTTAATAATAATTCTCCTGGAACAAAAATGCAAGTTGAACATCTATGGATGTTTATTCATACCTTTTGTCCTCCTCCAGCTTGCCGACTGCTGATATATTCTGGACCCAGTTTCTGACGAAGAGCGTGCTGGATGGCTTGATATTCATTTGCTGTAAATTGATACTTGATGGAAACAAAGTAAGACAAAGGTTCTCATTCTCTCCATATTAGCCATCCCTCTTCTCCTAGTATTACTTCATAAGACAATTTTCCCTGTCCTTTCAAGAGATACGTGGTCCACTTTTAGAATCAGGATGTAACCACCAAAGAGAGACCCTGGGGCACGTGTACACATTTGTGCACTGTATTGTTTTTTTCCATACTCTTGAGATCATACATAGATCATCTTGAGTGCAACAACACGGCACGTGCACGACAACCAGGCTATCAGGCCCAGCAAGCCTGAGTTTGTGAGAGGCTGCCTGACCAACCTCATCTCCTTCTATGAACAAGCGACCCACTTGGTGGATGAGGGAAAGGCTGTTGACATAGTCAAGCTAGACTTCAGCAAAGCCTTGGACAAGGTCTCCCATTGCATTCTCCTGGAGAAGGTGGCAGTCCGTGCCTCGGACAGGTACAATTTTGCTGGATAAAAAAACTGGCTGAACGGTCAGGGTCAGAGAGTTGTGGTGAATGGAGTTAAATCCAGCTGATGACTGGTTCATCCTGTTTAATATCTTTATTGATGAGTTGGATGAGAGAACTGAGTATATCCTCAGTAAGTATGCAGATGACACCAAGTTAGGGAGAAGTGTCTGAGGGTAGGAAAGCCCTACAGAGGGATCTGGGCAGGTTGGATCAATGGGCTGAGGCCAACTGTGTGCACTTTGGTCACAGCAACTCCATGCAGTGCTACACGCTTGGGGCAGAGTGGCTGGAAAGCTGCATGGAGGAAAAGGATCTGGGGTGTTGGTTGACTCTCAGCTGAACCATAAAAGTCAGGAGCACCCTGGCTTTCATCAGAAATAGTGCAGCCAGCAGGAGCAGGAAAGTAAGTGATCATCCCTCTGTACTCAGCACTGGTGAGGCCGCACCTTGAGTGCTATGTTCAGTTTTGGACCCCTTCCTATAGGAACATTGAGACCCTGGAGGATGTCCAGACAAGGGTGAAAAGCTGGTGAAGGGTCTGGAGCATAAGTCTTATGGGGAGAGGCTGAAGAAACTGGGATTATTCAGTCTCAAGAAGAGGAGGGTCAGGGGAGGTCGTGGCAAGGTGAGCGTCAGCCTCTTCTCCCAGGTAACTAGCAATAGGATGAGAGAGAACAGGAGAGGTTCAGATTGGGTATTACAAAGAAAAGAATTTCTTCTTAGAAAGAGTGGTGATGCATTGGCAATAGCTGCCCAGGGAAGTGGCACAGTACCCATCCCTGGAGGTGTTTAAGGAAAGGGCAGATGTAGCACTTAGGGACATGGTTTAGTGGGAGATGGTGGTGATTGGTCAATGGTTGGACTAGATAATCATAGAGGTCTTTTCCAACCATCACGATTCTACTAATCATTAAGCTCTAGCAAATGTTTTCCATTTCTCAAAACCATCACTTATATTAAAAGAAGTTAAATGAAGCAGGTCTCTTAGTGGATCCTAGTGAAATCTTAACGCAATCATAAACCCTAGTCAAAGTTACCAGGAATACACAGACACATTTATATCTTATCTCTCAAAACTAAAATATAATATTTCACGAGAAAAGTCTTTATAAACTCAAACAAAACCAAAGTTTAATGTTATTCTACCACCACGTCCCATCAGGACAACAGCTTGGGTGATCAATCAAATTAGAAAATTACTGAGACGTGTTCAGCATATTCCCCTACTGCAAGGAAGGTCCTTTGGATACCAGCATCACGGGTATCATTAGGAAGCCCAGCACTGTAACTCATGCTGCATAACTTAGTAGAAATACAATTTACAATCTGCAAAGGTTAGAAAGGCCTAACAGCATTCTTGGGGATTTACACGTTAAAGGATTCAAGCACTAAAAAGCTTGTGTTGTTATATGCTGTTATGTGTGGACAGAATAGGATTTCACCAACTGTATCTTCATGTTCCAGCACTGCCAAATCTCTCACATTCACCTGTGGTTGTATTTAGGCTTAAAGGAAGGGCTTTCTTTTTCTGATACTAGAAGCAAGTCTGTAATAAAAGACATAAGGAAAAGGGGAGCATACACACGCCATGGCTATCATAGAGGAAAACAGAATGTAAGTTTAGGTGCAGAATAGTTAGTGTAGTGGAAATGACTCTAGCCTAACTGTATCCAACTTTAAAATGAGCAAATATGCAGAGCAGATTTCTAGTAGTCCAAGAACGGAACTTGTATTTCTCAGGCAAAGGGAACTGACCTGCCCGAAGCAAGCAGCTGAACTGCTGGTGCTGGTACTGCTGCAGCTGACATGGCTTTCGCTGTCCTTCCCTTGCCTTGCGGGCATCCCTAAAGACAAAAGAAAATACAATTATTGAAAATAAGAGTCAACTATCCATACGAAAACACATCAAAAAAGTCCACTGCACGCTAAGTATAGCAACGTACTGCAATATATTGGACAATACAGTAATACCAGTCATATTTTTGCGCATACTTCTGTGAAACTGCTGCAGGACCAGGTGGAAATTTGTTTTCTGATGCTGTTTCATAGCAGTTAAAATTCTTCTTAAAAACCTACTGTGTAGTAGACAGAAATAGACAGAAATGACTAGCTTCATCCTAAAGGCAGAGGCACTGTTGCGCTCTTGTGTAAGATCAGAGCCTAGAACAACAAAAAAATGTTGTGAGTCTTTATTCTAAATATTAAGCAGGTAAAAATGATGTATTTTTATTCCTTTTAGATGAACATGAATGCACTGTACCGTTTTAGGTAAGAAAAAAAAAAACACCTCAATTGTTCAGATTCCCCAGCACTGTCTTCCTACATCACCTTCCAAATCCATTAACACTTTGATAAAAAGCAGAAGGAGATTTCTAAAGTTGTACTTGTCCATAACCCGACTTGTCCATCTTCATTTTAGATTACTGACTGCAGTCATCGACTGCCTTGAGTTATGATGGCATCACACAAACCATGCAGAGCTGGAAAACATACAGAACCTCCAACAACGTGAAGAAGTTGTGCCAATAATTCAGTAGATGGCACCCTTTTCCAAGCCAGTACCCAACAAGTACCCGATGGTAACCGTGCTACCACTCTCCTGTGCTGCTACAGAAGTGATTGTCCTATTGAGTGCCTACATGACAGGAGCACGAGAGAGCCGCAGCAACACTTCTACAGAAGTCCACAGAGGCAATCTTTTACTGTATTTGCACAAATACTGAGTGCAAGTGGTTTTAGCCCATCAGTCTGTAAGTCTTCTGTACGCAGCACAAAGGAAGTCAACGCGCAATGTATGTCAATGAGACAGCTGGGGATATTAAAACAGATACACAAGATTTTAAATCCTCCAGACAGTGATATGTGATAGCCTGTAGGAGCCTGGTTAGTATTACTTCTTGCTCCTGTACTTCATGTTCAGATTTTTTGAAAGAAGTTGTTTTTCTAGTCTCTAAATAAGGAAGTATTACTAAGGACTCGCTAAACACATCTCAGAAAAGGGATACCAGCTGTACCCTTGGCAAGTACAAACACTGATAATTATGTCAGGTGTAGCTAGAATTCTCTTTTTGTTGGCAATCATTATTTACCTTCTGTCCAGAAGCTGTATAATTGCACAGATCTTGTACAATTGGAAGCGTTTCAATCAGAAGTTAAATGCAATTTATGGTAAATACATTTGGTTTCAGAAGAGAACATGTAGAAGTTAATATTACTAGGAGATGCACACACGGTTTAAGAAAGTTACTGCCCTTTTTGAGCAAAGTGTTCACACTTGGAGAGAAATAAAAAAATAGTATCTGTGGTGAGTGGTGGAGCGAAACAAAGTTTGAAGAGTACTATGTGTATATTTTCACTCTACGCAGATTAAATCAGATCTTAATCAGTATAAAGCCCTTGGAGGGAAAAGGCAATATAAGAAATGTGTGCATTTGCCCTGTGAGCAGTAGGCCAAGAATCTACACACACAGCAGGTGGGTGGCATTCAGAAGGAAAACTGCTTTAAATGAAACCACTATTAAGTCTTTAAAGCTTTTACAAGGTATGCACCACTGTCAGCCTACATTCTATACAGAGATGCACCTTGAATGAAACTGACTGAAGTATGGGTGTCGATTTGAACAAGAATGAGGAAGTGCAGAATTCTGCTAAAAACAGCATCATATATGGTTTTAATCTAATGGAGAGATTTCAATAGAATCTTGCCATTAGAAAATTCTAGTAAGGGACAGATAAAATATGTCCATAGCCTGTATTTAAGTTATCATTTATTCTACAGCTTGTGTGAATGAGATGGATGATGCTAGTTCCAGGCCTTGCTTGCACCAACAGTTTGCTTCAGCCACGGATCTTATTTAAACCAAACGTTCTAACAGAGCAATGTGATTTTTTTCATCAATTTGTTGAAATGCAGTGAGGCTCTATGTCTCCAAGCAGCTTTCAGAGCATGATGGGGCTGGAGCACCTCTCCTATGAAGAAAGGTTGAGGGAAATGGGCTTGGAGAAGAGAAGGCCCTGGGGAGACCTCAGTGTGGCCTTCCAGTACTTGAAGGGAGCACATAAACAGGAAGGGGGTATGTCTGTTTATGAGGGTGGGTAGTGATAAAACAAGGGGGAATGGTTTTAAACTGAGACAGGGGAGATTTAGGTTAGATAATAGGAGGAAGTTTTTCACACAGAGTGTGGTGACACACTGGAACAGGTTGCCCAAGGAGGCTGTGGATGCCCCATCTCTGGAGGCATTCAAGGCCAGGCTGGATGTGGCTCTGGGCAGCCTGGTCTGGTGGTTGGCGACCCTGCACATAGCAGGGGGTTTGAAACTGGATGATCGTTGTGGTTCTTTTCAACTCAGGCCTTTCTGTGATTCTATGAACTTCAATTTCAAGATCAATAAAGCAGGAGTCCTGAAGTTAATTCTGCAAATGGAATTCTAAATCTCCTTTAACACAGAGCCAGGAGCTTGGGAAGGCAAGGCTTCCACTTCTCAGCAGAATGCTGGTTCCTCACTCACTCTCTTAACTCATCTCAAACATTCACCCTGGGATAGATAATAATCATCAGCTATTGGCTAGAGAAGTGCCAAAGGACAGTGCTAGGACAGTGCTGGACACATAAAGTAGCACTAAAAATGCCTTACTCTCAAATTATCTTCAAATGCTAAAAGTTCAAGTTCAAATATTTTAGTTCTGTATAGAGCATGGTAAAAGCAGTTTACCATCGGACAACTAGGAATCACCATTTACTACATTTGCGACCGTGATCATTCTTTATTAATTATCATTTACATGGAATTATTGTCACTGTAACCAGTAGTGTTCTCAGAAGGTTTCTCTGGGCAGCCTGTGCCAGGCCCGCACTGCCTGATTGACCAAGCACAATAAATGATGCTACCTAGGTAACGTAAGGTTCGTATCGCCCTAACACGAAAAAAAATACAAATAGTGAACTCGAAATGCATATATGTGCTTTTGTGGAGCATTCTCTCGTCTGGGGACGCTCAACTGTTTCATAAGCCGAATAATTTGCTACGCAAAAATTGCTTTATCCGGCGCGGAGATGGAGCGAACACACTGACAGCCTAATGGTCTGCATGGTGAAAAGCGACAATATCATTCCCCGCGTTTTGACTCGTGCAGATACCCGGCCGGGGTCGCTGAGGGGACAGCCCATTGCCCGCTCCCGCCAACGGCCGCCCCGCGAGCGGCCCCGCCGGAAACGGCTGAGGACGCCGTACCTGGGCCAGGCCGGGCCGCGCGCCTCCCGCCGTCGCCGCCGCCGCCGTTCGCAGCTCCCGCGCGTGCAGGAGGGGCGACGGGGGCGGGCACCGCTACGGCGAGAGAGAGGGGACAAACTTCCCGCGGGCGGACGCGGAGGGGAGGGCAAGGGAGGCCGACTGGGGGAGGCGGGGCGCCGCGCGGCCGCGAGGGGACGGCGGGGTGGGAGGGAGAGGCGGAGGCGACCGAGCTCGCCGCGGCGCTGACGGGCAGGTGAGGGGCCCCGCCGGGCGCGGGGGGCCGCGGGAGGGGGCAGCGCCGCTCGCCGGCCGCTGGGGGGAGCCAGGCGCGGGGCGGGGCCTGCGGGAGCCGGTAGCTGCGGGCGGCCGCCGGGCTGGGCAGGGGCTGCGGCGGGGCCTGGTGGCCGGCGGGCGCCGCTCAGGTGGGTCCGGTTTCCTCCCGGGAGGCTACGGGGCCTCAGGACCGGGAGGAGAGCTGGGTAGGAGGCTGAGGGGTGCAGGGCCTCGCCGCTCCGCGGGCCTCGAGCGCACTGTCACCGCCCGGGGCTATGCTGGGTTGGGCTGGGCTGGGCTGTTCTCTGCTGGGCGGCGGCAACCCCGGGCCCGGCTGTCCCCGCTGCCCGGCCCGGCCGGAGGTACGGGGCGAGTTCCGCCGTGCGGCGGTACTCAGGGAGGAGGTTGGTTCTGGGGCGGCCGTGGGGCTTTGCTCGTCTCCCCTGCGATTGCGTTCGTCCCTCCCTACTTGGTCAGTGTGCCCTCGCTAAACGTTCGCCTTCATTGTCTCGGTGCCATCGGTAAGGTAATGGTGCCGGCCGCCTTTCTGCCCGGAGCGAGCCGTGCTGTGATTTCCGCCCCACCTCTGGGCATGCCGCGTTCATCCCACGGAACCTACTACAGCGCGAGTGTCAGTTGACATCATGCTTTGTTTCTGCATCTGCAGCCATCCTGAAGCATGTGTCGGGAGCTGCTCTTTCCACATCTGTCTGGTTCCTGATGTGAACCCTAAACCTCAGCTATGAAGGCTCACAATGCCTTTTGCTTGGAGTGTTACGTGCGAGTTGGAAGCCCGTGTTGTGGTTCGTGCTGATGGGGTGTGAATTGTTCTAGGTGAAACCCTGATGGAAATGGGGAGGTTTAGGAGACAGGGAAGAAGAAAGAAACGTCCGTGGAGCTAAGGGAGAAGCAGAAGCATAGAAGCTGAGAGAATAAAAGGAGATTCCTAAAAATAGAATAGATGGGGAGAACAGCGTATGTTTTACATCTTATTGAAGCTCATTCTAGGGGGGAAGAGGGGGAGAGGCATGTAAAGGTAGGTGGGGTGATTGTTGCTGAATAATATGTTACCTCAAATCCAACAGGTTGTAACCAGAAAAAGTTGTCCAGTTTGGCTGCAGGGTTCTGATTCTGATAAGATGGCCAACCCAGCTAGGATATGTCTGAACAGTAACCTCCACCATCTGCCTGCCCTCCTTTTCTCCCAGAGAGTATTGCGTCTACAGCAGGAGGTGGTTGAACATACATCTTCTGAGTTCTGCAGCCCACAGCCTGACAGATCACTGTGAAGGTTTTGGTATTTTGTGTTTGAGACTGATATAGTTGAGATGTGTGCCCCAATTCAGGGTCACATATGAGTCAGCACCCTTGCAGCCATATCAAACAAGATTAGAAGAGAAAAATCACCACCTTGTCCCTGCTGTTGAGAGCAGAGTTAGTAAAGCAATAATCAAATTTTATCAATAATGAGGTTTTGGGATGAAACCGCTAATTATTAAGTGAGATAGCTGTCTGGACTATATTTCAGTTCTGGAAACTGAACTTCAGTACTTCAGCACAGAACAGCAGTTCCCTGAGTTGTCAGGTTTCTGATTTCACTGTATCACCCAGAAATATAGAATTGTCTGAGTTAATCAAGCTGTAAGAGGAGCAGCAGCTAGGAACAGGTTGGGATCTGCTGGCTAAAACATGACATGAGTTTGTCATAATATTTCATATAGCTTTGAACTTTTTCCACATTGTCCAGCAAACCATTGTAGCTGTAATGAAATCATTCTACGGCTGTTAGCAGTTTCTCTTGTTTGGGTTTGTGTTATCTGGGTGATAGGAAAGCATCGTTTTTTTTTTTGTAAGTCTGAGGTTTTTGATCCCATTGTTTTGTGAAATTCTGTTTGTGTAACTTCACACCTCTAACATTCAGTTCAGGTCCTCACCAGCAAAAAAAGAAAAGCAAGTTTGATATTTACATGGCCTGTACCTTGTTATTGAATTGCTAATCTGGACTGTGAAAGAAACCTTTTTTTTTTTTTTTCCTTTTGCTGAGTTTGCTGCATTCTCAGTTCCTGGTAGGAGTTATCTGTGTTGCTGCATGAATAGAAATGTTTCACCATGCTATTGTAATGAGTGGGAGAGTTCCTTGCTATTATTCCTAATTCTGTGCAGTGGGAGACTCTCCCAGCATTACTTTTTCTCCCCTCACCCTTCCCCGTTGTCAAACTATTTTGAATCTGTTCTCCAAAATGCATCTCTTGCATTGTTTGCTACCTTGGCTAAGCCCTTTGAAAACTGCCACTAGGTCTACAAGGTCTGGCTTGTTTTGTCTGAGCATGGTATACCTGGAACTGTATGGATGCATGAATGCAGGCGTTGAAATAATCAGATCTAGAATTAAGAAACGTGAATGTATTCTTGACCCTTCCTAGCAACCTCAGTGTGAGTGCACTCGGGTAAGGAACATTGTTTGAAGAAAAGGGAGGTTTGCTACTTCCAATGAAGGAGCACACTTTACATAGAGCAGTGATGTTACCTGTGGTGAGCCGAGGCTGTCTGCCTGAGCAGATTCATTAGTGTTTCTATGTACTTCTGGGGTTCTGAAGCACCTTTATTACTCTTAGGGTTGTGTACCTTACTGATTGTGCTACTGGGAAGTGGTGACGTGCTACCTGGGGGAAAGGGAGAAATGGCCATATTTCCTACACTCCCTGCACTAAGCACACAGCGTTGATGGATGGTACTCTAAAAATCAGGCTACAAAGTCTTTAGCCGCTCATTGGCAGCAAATTCATGTCTGCATGTCTTCAACCTTCTGGGTAATTTGAAGAGCAAGAGTTATTTTAATCAGAGCTATTCTGTCACTAGCAAGTTTATATGCATGTTGTGACTTCTGCTTTTTGTTTGCATCAAAGTGAAAAAAACACCAACGTGCCAAATGTTGTTGGTTTGGTTTTGTGTTTGCTTTCCATTTAGAGGCTTACAGTCAGCTCCCATTCATTGCCCAACGCAAATCCTGATGTGCCCACCAAGCCCGTGTGTGTGTTTCAGTGGACCAGAGGGGACCCTTGGGTCCCACCTACCTCTGCTAAACCCAAACGGTTGGTGATTTGAGGATGCAATTAAGGATGATTCACAATGTATCCATGTGCCTGCCACCTTGTAACAAAGTCAGTGCTGCTGGAGGAAGGCTTAGAGCTCTACCAGAGAGTTGGTGCTTCAGCGTTGTCCAATGCTTGGGCTGAGCTTGTGAAACCATGAAGTGTGGTGTCCAGATGGTCTTAAGAAATATGTGCCCCACTCTTCCATGGAAACCAAAACATTTCTAGTGGTGCACAGCAACCCAACAAAGGGGAAGAACTTGCTCATGCACCCAAATTTATTGACAGATTAATTCTTAGCGTGTTGTAGTCTGGAAAATGAGATGGCCTTTAAAAACGTTAATAGCACCTTACATTCCCTTTCTAGCTGAGGCTAAACACTGGAACTTTAGGAAAACACCCTTATAAGCAAGTGGTGTGAATAAAGACTTGGCAAAATATACTCATCTTTGTAAAAATAGTGAGCTTTTTTCCTTTTTGTGCTCTCAGTTTTTAGAAAGAATGATAGAAAGGAACGAAGCTGTGGTGGTGAAAGTATACCTATTATGCCTTCGTTATTTCCAATAATTATTGGAATTATAAGAAATAAAACCCAATGTCAGCTGAAACCTCTTTTGCATAGAAGCTGCTGTGGAGTAGAGTGTGTTTTGTCATCCTAGTCCTGTCCTAGTCCTTCTTGGGGAGCAAGTAGATCTCATGAAAGGAATTTTATGCTTGAGAGAGGCATAAGTATCCTAGGAAGCTGGTGAGTAGTTGTGATTTAGGTTTAATCTGTTATATCTTCTAAGAATGCAGGAGAAGAATGGGAAACAGAGCGATATCTAAAAAGGTCAGACAATCAAAATGCTTCCATGTTGTGTGGTGTTTTAAAGTGCATGCATACCACTTATGCTAACTTTCCAAATTTGGAAAGCCTGGAACAGGAGTGTCAATTTATGTTTAGAAATAAAACCCTTCTTTAATAAATGACTGTTGAGATTTTCCTTAGAATGCCAGGGTCAGAGTTCAGGGATGCCTGCTTTTTATAAGACACAGCTTTCAAAATGTCAGATCCACATTCTAAGTCACTTTTGAGAGTCTCAAGAAGACTTTTTTCAGGACTTTTTTTTCCTTTGTTTCAGGAAGACTTCTCTATTTACAGAGAGGTGGGAGATAAAAACATCCATTTATATCTTCTTATATCCATTGAGACAGAGCAAGGGCAGTGTTACCTTCAGTCAACTTGACAGATATTCAAGATGGTAAACATAAATAAATGAAAAAAGGCATGGACATAAACAGATGTTGGTGCTTTGACATCCACTATCTAGGATTGAGAGTCAACCATAACAACAACAGTTAATTTTTTCGTCTTCTTTCTGTCTTAGTTTCATTAATTGCTTTTGCTTTCTTGCTATTCAGGCCATGAGGATAAAGATTATTTAATATGGATAAACAAGTCTGAATTCCATGGGTTCATTGCTGTGTATTTAGCACTGAGTGGCTTGCGAACAATTTCCAAGATAAACTTTCTTCTGCCCTTTTTCTGTGTAGTAGTCACTAATTTGCTTTGAAAACTGGTGAGCTTTTTAACCTCCCATAGCTAAAAGTCAAATCTAACAGTTAGATAAGACTAATACCTTCCAAGCCTGCAAGTCAAATAAGATGACAGATACTCCACATTCTTTATAAAAAGTCATTTCAACCCTGGCATTTGTACAAGAAAGTCCAGGTCCCTCTGCGTAAGTCAGTCGTGATTAACTATTAGGGTATGAATTATGACAAATGAATACCTTTGTAAATGAAGTTCAGTGTTTCTGCTACACTGCAGTATCAGATGAAGATTGCTCTTGTAAGGGCTGACTTTGTTGCTGTTGTAGAGCTGATATTCAAAGCTCTTCTAATGCAAACATGGATCGGTGCTACCGGGCAGTTCATTTTGCTGGGAACTGAGTAAGTTGGGTTTCTTTGCCTACTTCATGCTTCGTTCTGATGTATTGGGCAGTGATGCTCTTGAAGAAGCTAGCTCTGTAAATGCTTGTGTCCCTCAGCTTGTGTCAGTCCTGAACAGAAACTGC